GGTAAGAAAAAAATGACAAATTCTGTTATCTAGCAAAATCATCCTTCAAAACTTAAACGAAAAACTAAGGTATGTCTAGATAAACAAAAACTGGAGATTTGCCACTAACAGATGTTCCTACATGAAATATTAAAAAGATTCCTTCAGGTTGAACAGCAAGACACTGGAGAGTAACTCAAATATGCATGAAAAAATAAAAACTATCAGTAAAGCTGAGGCAAATATAGAAAGCAACAGAAATGTATTTTGTCTGTACCTAGTTTCTCTTCTAGCTTATTTAAAAGATAGTGACAAAATGAAATAATTATATGTGGATGAGCAAATGATGTATAAAGAAGTAGTTTGTGAAAAATAACAGTATAAACAAGGGAAGAGAAACAAAATTATAGGAGCAATGTTTTAGATATTATTTATAAAGTTGGTATTAATTAGAACTACATTTGTATAAGTCAAATTGTTAACTATAAATTTATAGGACAACCTCTAATAAAATAATAATAATGATTAAGAAACAAAAGAAACTAATGTGATAAAGAAAATGTCATATTAAAAAAAGGTGATATGGGCCCGGCACGGTGGCGCAAGTGGTTAAAGGTCCTCACCTTGCACGCCCGGGATCCCATTTGGGCGCCGGTTCTAATCCCGGCAGCCCCGCTTCCCTTCCAGCTCCCTGCCTGTGGCCTGGGAAAGCAGTTGAGGACGGCCCAAAGCTTTGGGAACCTGCACCCGCGTGGGAGACCCGGAAGAGGCTCCTGGCTTCGGATCGGCATAGTATCGGCCCGTTGCGCTCACTGGGGAGTGAATCATCGGACGGAAGATCTTCCTCTCTGTCTCTCCTCTCTGTATATCTGCCTTTCCAATAAAAAAATAATAAAAATAAATCTTTAAAAAAAAAAGGTGATATTACAGAAACAAAGGAATAAGACAGATATAAAACATATAGGAACCGATTGAGGCATATTTTCTACCTTGTAATTAATTACATTACATGTAAATGGAATAAACTCACCAATTAAAGTCGGATAATATCAGATAAAAAATAAAAACATGATCAGTCTATATTTGGGTTAAAAGAGTCATAGATTGAAAGAATGAAAGTTAAAGAATGGGGAAAATTATGCTGTGCAAATAATAAATGCCAACAGGATGAACGTGGCAGTGGCTATACTAGTATCAGACAATGCGGTCTTTAAAATACATGCTGATATTAAAGACAGTAAAGAATGTCTTGTGTTGACAAGATCAGTTCATAAGTCAGTTAAAACAGTTCTAACAGATAAGCATCTAAGAGCAGATTTACAAAACACATCATGGAATTACTGCAAACTGGAGAGAGAACCAAACAGTACAATATAGATTTTAATAATCTGTTCTCAGTAATGGATAGAATAACTTCAGAGTACCAGCAAGGAAACAGGAGAATGGAACAATCTTCAGATAAATCTATTCTAACTGGCATCTTTAAAGCATTCTCCCCAAGAATAAGAGAAAACACACTGTTAACTGCACACAGGACACCCTCCAGAACAGACCAAGTATTAGTCCATACAGAAAATATCAATAAACTTGACATTATTGAAATCACAGGGAAAAAAATTATGTCTAAGCCCAATGAAACGAAATTGGAAAGTATGAGAAGAAACTTTTAGAATTTTACAAATGTGGGAATTAAACCACATGTGAAAAAAAAAGCCAAAGAAAAAATCACTGGGGAAAGCAGAAAACTCCATTTAAGATAAATTAAGTAAAAAATATATCAAAACTTAGAAGATGTTAGAGATGTGGTACTCATGGGAAATCCACAGCTGTACATGCCTGCGTGCGCGCGCACACACACACACACATACACACACACAGAGGGACACACACACATACACACAGAGGGACACACATACACACAGAGGGACACACACACACAGAGGGACACACACACACATACACATACACACAGAGGGACACACACACACACATACACATACACACACACATACACATACACACAGAGGGACACACACACACACAGGGACACACACACACACACAGAGGGACACACACACACACACAGGGACACACACAGAGGGACACACACACAGAGGGACACACACATACACACAGAGGGACACACACACACACACACATACACATACACACAGAGGGACACACACACACACACATACACATACACACAGAGGGACACACACACAGAGGGACACACACACACACACATACACACAGAGGGACACACACACACATACACATACACACACAGAGGGACACACACACACACACATACACACAGAGGGACACACACACACACACATACACATACACACACAGAGGGACACACACACACACACATACACATACACACACAGAGGGACACACACACACAGAGGGACACACACACACACAGAGAAAGTGGGAGAGGTCTAAAAATGTAACACAGCTTTTCACATTATTAAAGAAAAGACCAAACTAACATAAAACAGAAATAAGTATGAAAAAATCATGACAACTAGAATGCAAATAAACAAAGTGAAAAGTTGATTATTTGAAAACATTAACAAAATTAGCAAACTATGAAGATAAGACTCAGTTCTACTAAATAGGAATGTAAAAGAAGACATTGGTGCTGACACTACAGAAATGAAAAGGACTGCCAGGGAACAGGGAGAACAGGTGCAAATCAATGAAAGAGATTATCTGGAAAAATTCCAGAAAGACATAAATTACCAAAACTGACTAAAAAAAAAAAAAAGAAATAGAAATCTGAATAGGCTTAAAACAAGTACAGAGATTAATCTAATGATTAAATCTATATATATGGGACCAAATAGTTTCCAAATGTTTAATGCAAAATTAACTCCAATGTCTCAATAAATAAATAAATAAAACCAACAACCAACAAACCACTTTCATTTCATTCCAAGAATGACATAGCTTCAAAGGCATGATAAAACAAGTTAAAAAGAAAATGCACAGAGTGGATCGAATATTATATCTGAAAGTCATGTACTGAGTTAGCATTTGTGATCTATACCAGGTAAATAAAAACTCTCACTATTCGACAAAAAAAGTAAAAAGACAAACAACCTAGTGGAAAAATGGGCCCAATTTGAGCAAATATTTCTCCCAAAACTGTATGCCTAAAAAGCAAACAAAAATGATCAGCAGCATTGGTCATTAACTAATGCAAATCATGACAGCAAAACACCACTTCATTCTTTGGGATAGCTACAATAAAAACTAATAAACAAAAAAGAACAAACATGGGCAAGCCTGCGGAGAAATCAGAACCCTTATAAATTGCTAGTGTGATGGAAAGTGGTACAGGTTCTTTGGAACACAGTGTGACGAAAGCTGGCTCACTTGTTCAGTACTGCTCCTCCAAAGAGTAATCACAGAACTACATGACCTAACAATTCCATTCCCAAGTATGAGCATATCCCAAATGAACTGAACACACGTGTCCACAACAGTACGCGTGGGTGTGCCTGTTCACAATAGCCCAAGCTTCAGGCAACCCAATGCCTGTCAGCCAGCAAAAGGGCAAGAGTGTGTCCACACAAAGGGATAGCACTGAGCCATTTAAAGACATACCAATACATGCCACAACATGGAACAACTTTGAAAACATTCCGCAAAGTGAAATAAGTCAGACAGAAAAGATAAGTGTGCGTGTTTGTGTGTGTGCGTGAGAGAGAGAGAGAGAGAGAGAGAGAGAGATATTCCATATATAACAAGTCCAGAATGAAAAATGCTATAGAGACAGAAAATAAGACTCTACTGTTGCTAAGGCAAGGGACAATGTAACCAAATGGGGTTTCTTTTGAGGAACTGAAAATGCCTGAGCTGAATAGTGTGATGGATGTGTCACCTTGTGAATACAACCAAAAGGTAAAAAAAAAAAATCACTGAGCTGAGTATTTGTAAACAGGGAACTATAGTTAGTGAATCATATACTACTTTATAAAAACTAAATGGCCCAAATGGTTTAAATAACAGACACTTTAACACAAAAGAATTTTGATTCCTTTTATATCATTTATTTAAAGTGAATCAGAGTAAATACAAAAAAACATTAAAATTAGAAATATATTAAATTCAGAAACCACATATGAAAAGACTTATAACTGGATATATTAAAATGTAAGACTTCTGCATGATACCTGTAACATAACTGCAATCAAAGAAAAGAGGTAGATCAAGAGAAAACACTTGCAACATATAAAACAAAGAATTAATATCTGGAATTTCTAAGCAAATCACTATAAAGGTGGCTGAGAGATAAGAAACACTTTCTAGTTTACATAATTATAAGACACTCAATAATAATAAATGTTATACAAATTAATCATTAGATAATATGAAAAATACAGAAATATAAGACTATATTTCTAAGTATTTTCTGTGTGAAAAAGAAGTATTCACATGAACTAGTGCAAGCATAAATTGGTAAATTCTTTTTAGAAAGCATTTGGCAGTGCATTTCAAAATATGCAATTTTAAACATGGGGACTCTAAGTAAAAATCCTGGAAAAAACTGCAGATGTACACAAAGTGAAATGTAAAATATGCTTATACAACCACGCTTATTATAGCAAAATGCTAGGATCCACCCAAATGTTCCTGTGCAATCTCTTTGTTGCATAGCACCCCACTCCCTTTCCAGGATTTCAAAAACAGCAAGGTAATTTCAGGGAAGAAATTAAGTAACCAAATAATATTATAACAAATCCCACTGACAGGAAGCAAAGTGAACCTAACCACTTCCTGTAGACCGAGCTGCTGACCGTGACCACCTCTGCGCTGGGGACCGGATATCAGGAAAAGGTCAAAGGTCGAGTGGGCTTCCATTTGCCAATGTATTGCCTTAACTTTCACAAAAAAGGAATAGCGAATCTATGATTTGCATAAAATATTAATTTCTAAAGTACATGTCTTCTTTATGTGATGCTACTTGATCTATTTTTAAATAGATGAAATAACAAAATTCTTACCTTCCAAATTTTCTATTTTTTCAATGTTGTTTAAAGCCAAATTCAAATATTCAAGCTTCTTAAGTTTACTAACATTTTCTGAAAAAAAATATACCAAAAAAGTGCAATTAATTCACCTTCAAGATAGAAGACATTTCCACATAATCCACTGTAAAAAATGTGATAAAGAGAATCTAAGGAGTATTACTCTGATTACCAAAACCTCGTTGCACCTCCACCTCAGATGCTGTGGTTGCCTACGTAACATACAATCTTCCTTCCATCATTCAGATGGAGCCCACGTTTGATCAGGCCTACTCAGCCCCAATCCCAAAGAGTTAGGTTTAACCAAGGTTGGCCAGCGCATGGCAAGCCTATCTCTCGTAGGAGACAGCTTCTGGCATTCTCACGGTCCAGGACAAGGCATGTACACCTGCTAACCCCAGTCAGCTGAAAGGACAAGGCCCACACTTCCTCCTTGGGAACATCTTCTCTCTCTTTTTCCTCCTCAATAAGACATTACTATCTCTACCAATACACCAGTCACAAGGGCACTTGCTATAGAGTAAAGTCCATTTGGTGCCTGGCAGAGTAACAGGGAGAAGCAATCAACCAACCCTGGCAGCCACCCCACCTCTACTTTTACAGCCGGGGATAAGACAACAAGCTTTCTTCCTATTAAACCACATGGAGTTGGGTTTCTTTTATGTGAATCCAGAATCAGCCTGGTGCAGGATTATCGGTTTTCATAAGCATGGAATCCCACATGGGCAGGCCATCAAGTAGGAACAAGTCAGGGCATCATTTTAAGACAACCAATAACATAACTTACCTGGCTGGACACTTACTACAAATTAGAGCATTCTAGGCACTTCACATATATTATCTTATTTAATCCTTATAACAACCCCATGACGAGTTGTTGTGTTCACTTTTGGGAACACCAAGGCACAGAGAATTAACGCACTTGTTCAAGGCTGAGCAGGGGCACCAGGAATTTTGACCCCAGATCTGGGCACTCAATCATTTTAACAGCTGTTTCCAAAACGACCTGAATGTAGAAAACTCAGCTATGGAATGTGCATTTGTGACAGGCTCGCTTAAGCAGTGGCTCCTTGGCCCATGAGTCAGGGTTATATTGGAGAGCAAACCCAATGCTATATATCAAATCATCCACATGTAATTTGTAAAACATCACATAACTATTCCACAGACCTGAGAATAATAGCTTGCCTCTCTGAGCCTCAGTAATTCATTATTAAAAACTAGGATTTTGAAGTAAAATACTAGGTCCTCATGACAATGAAATTGAATCAGTAACAGTGAGGTTTATAAAAGTCTCTGTAGCGACATCCTAACATTTAATAGCAACTTGGAGGTTTGCTTCTGCCAGGTATTATGACAGATAAAGCATCTACTCTGCATCCTGAAGAAAAGCACTTAAGGGTAGCACTGGTGAAATCACAGCCCACACTAAAACACAGGTTCAAAATATAATTCCCATGTTCTCCCTTTGAACCTGTGTTTTATTGCTATTTCTCTGAGTGTGTATGGCTGTATGTATATATGTATATACCTGCTTGACCAATGAACACATAAACGCAACAGCAGAAATCAAGTTGCTCAGGGGAAGATTGCTTGGTAAGTATGAAGGCATAGAACCCCTTGCAAAAACAAAGAGATGTGACATTTCGGCCCCAATCATTTTCAAAGCAGTTCCCACCAACTGCCACCAACAGTGGCCCAAAGTCGCAGTGGGCCCGATGCCTCGTGAGGCGCCAGACGCTCTGTGGCCCTCAGCTGTACCCAGGCGTGGGGCACACCCAGAATCTGTTGCGAAAGCAGATTACTGGAGGCCACCCCCGCAGGAGGCTCTGCACTTTCCTGGGACCCCAGATGGTCCTCAGCTCCCACTTGGATCAACACAGAGCAGCACCTTCCTCCGCAGCCCATCTGGATCTCCCCGTGCTTTAGGAAATGCAACTGCTTGCAGATTTCTAGTTCAATGGTACAGGGGCAAGTCTGGATCCTACAGAAGTAGTTTTACTTGCTGAATAAGTGCCTTGACACCTGTGATTGGAGCAGAACCTCCCCCAGAAAATCCCATTATTAGGATTTAAAAGAGTGCTTAATTTGAGAATACTTTGGAAGCAAAAATCCAAGCTTTCTTGTAGCACTGAAAAGGACTGAAATGCTATGCTACTAATTAGTAATTGTGATGGACCCAGCTGCGGATATTAAAATTTCCAGAACTCTTTTAGACCTTGTTATTAGGGATGTTCTTTAATGCCCCACAAATAAAAGCCAGTGGCTGTCTGTAACAACTTTTTAATTGAACAATGTGCCAGAGACCCTAGTTTCTGGTTAACTAAAAGGCTGAAAATATCTATCTGAAGAAATGCATGGAGAGTTTGAGTAAGTCTTCAAAACATAATGCAAAGCGAGGTGTTGTCTTTTTTTTTTTTTCTTACAATCCTGGAGCCAGTTTGCAATTGTCAGCGAACTAGAGGCAACCACATCGCCAGTGCTGCTCCATCTCGGGAGCACTCACATCTGAGCCAGACTTCTTGCTGGTGAGGGATGTGTCGTGCACTGTAGGATGGTTGGCACCATCCTGGCTTCTACTGACAGAACGCCAGGAGCACCACCCTCACACACACACACGCACACACACACACACACACACACACGCACACACACACACGCACACACACACACACACACACACATTTGTAGCAGACAAATATGTCTCCAGACATCACCAAACGCCCCAGTTGAGAATCACTGCATATCATCATAGAAACTTGACCACCTCTGTGCTGCGATGCCAAAGCACACACGGGCTAGCACGTTTTGTCTCATCAACCGGGACGCAGCCCTTAACCTCCATTCTCTTCTCCCTTCTACCCCGCTGCCTTCATGTGAGTGCTTGGGACATCCCATGGAAAGTAACGCTGAGGATCACAGCAGCACCACAGCATTCATCTGATACACACTTACTCATGATGAGCATAATGCCCAGCACCTCGTTTCACGTGATCTATACATCAATTCTGCATGCTGGCACTAATGAAGGTTTGGATACACTGACAGTGTGATTTCACACAACTTACAAATGGCATGAGCAGCGTTCAAAGCCAGATTTATGCGCTGCAGAGCCTGGGCATTTTCTTACCACTGAACTACGCTGTTGCTTCTCTGCCTTAGGGTGTTCCTCCTGTTTCCACATTCTACAGCCTCAGTTAGAGTGACTTCATAGCCCTGTAGCCATCAATTCACTCTTACAGGGGGAGACACCGGAAGTAGGAAAACCAACTTATTTTATTTTTTTTTAAAGATTTATTTTTATTATTTTTTCATTGGAAAGGCGGATATACAGAGAGGAGAGACAGAGAGGAAGAAGATCTTCCGTCCGATGATTCACTCCCCAAGTGAGCGCAACGGGCCGATGCTATGCCGATCCAAAGCCAGGAGCCTCTTCTGGGTCTCCCACGCGGGTGCAGGGTCCCAAAGCTTTGGGCCGTCCTCGACTGCTTTCCCAGACCACAGGCAGGGAGCTGGAAGGGAAGCGGGGCTGCTGGGATTAGAACCAGCGCCCATATGGGATCCCGGGCGTGCAAGGCCAGGACCTTTAACCACTTGCGCCACCGTGCCGGGCCCAAACCAACTTATTTTAGAGAAGAAACTGGGCATAGTTAATCATGCTCTCTTTCCTGGCTTTTAGGCTCTTCCTGTCAACAAAGAAGGTAACGTATAAACCCCTCCTTCCATAAAGCAAGGACTCACCTGGTGGGAGACACTGGGGGGCTCAGTTCTGCATGTGGCTGGATGGATATGTTGATCCTGAAGACAGAATTTGCAAGTCTGCTTTGCTATAGGTTTAAGTCATATTCTTCAAAAAAGCTTCATCAGTTATAATACTGGTATATTTATCTTTATCTATATAACTCCGCTATTTACTTCTATATTTATTTTAGACTGGAATCCCGTCCCTATCCAAGAAATGCCTTAAACATGAAGCATGCTTGAACTGGCTAGCACAGTGTGCAATAACCAGACTTGTTCAAGTCCTACATACTCCATTCAGCTTTGCAATGTGAATAAAACCACAGCAAATGCCTACATTATATCCTCCTCTTTGCAATTTCAAAAAAAAATAAATAAACATGCACCTTTTGCCTCTTTAAATGATGAAGTCAGTGAGTTTGTATCCTGCCTCTAGCTTCTCTCACAACTCCTTGGGGGAGATTGCTTTGGCCAGCGATTTTCACAATACCTGGAAGTGGCCCGGGGAAATGTTGTGCACACCAGCTACTGAGAGCTGCCTACCAGCCCAGTTAATCTTTTTTTTCAGTTAGCCTTCCTCTAAGAACACTGCATTTTCCTAGGTCTTCCATTCAGATTGCTAAAGAAAACGAGAGACCAAAGTAATGAGACTTACCAATTTTCCCAATAAGATTATTCTGAAGATAGAGAATTTTTAGATCTCGGCACCATTTGTCAATGTGTTCTAGCCTTTCTATTTCTTGCTGATGTAAAGAGAGTTCCTCCAGGGAAAAAATTACACAGTCATTGTGCTCCGCATTCCGTCTAATAAGATCTTCTGTGACTGAAAGAAAATGTGTCATATATTATATTTCTGTCCCCCACTGTTCAACATAGGGTCATTGCCTTATTAACTCATTGCACATTCTCTGCAGTAAAACGTCAATGCCCCAGGCCCAAGCACTTCTCAATAGGAAAGAGATCAGAAAAATCCTGCAGGAGCATTTGTGACAACATAATGTGAATGAAAGGGGAGAAAGAGCAATGGCAATATCTCTAGCCATATTTATTTTTGTATATGTAGGGTTGACACACATTTTGCTGTAACAATGGAAAAGGAACTGACAGTAAATGGTTGTAAAAAAGATGATGTGGAATCTTGCAGTAGTACCATGTCCAACTGGAGAAGATTCAATAGCTGAGGGAGAAACTTTATCCCTTGAGGCACAGTTGGGAACAGAAAAAAAAAAAAAAAACATAATAAAACCATCTCTCCCGGTCGTTCATTCATTTAACCAATATTCAGCAATCTAATTAGTGACTCTTATAGCTTTTGCACCAAAATCTTTTAAAGCAGCCATCATTTGTTCTACTTCCAGGAGGAATAAAAAAGCTGCTCACAGGAGCGAAGATGAAAACTTCTAACAAGAGGGCGATGGACCACCAGGCTGTCCAGAACTCAGAGGGTCATGAACTTGTGGTGGCCATTGTCCATCATTGTCCACCATTGGAGCCAGGAATAAAGCCATAAATCATCATCTGCAGATGATGTATTGGAATCAAAGAGGTAATAACAATGCCCACTCCTACTAAAAAATGTTGATGGCGTTGGCCCATCACATTCTAGGCAGAATATGGAACAACTGCATATCCACTCCAGGAGATAACAAGGATTTAATTATTCTAGATGCTTTAAATGTAGTAAGGTATAAACACATAGTGTTATCAGTTATATTCTCTAGATTGGGAATTACAACCTGGAACATTACCGTTTTCCACAGTCTTGGTGGGAATCACTCAAGCCAGGAATTAAATGCACTGTCCAGCATTTTAATTATCATTTTTTCCATAAACTGATGCATATGCCTCGACTTATATACTCTCATCCCGTATCCCAACTGAAGGCTTAGCTTGCTATAATCTACCTGGATACTGCCTTCACATGAATAACTAATTTATACATACACACATGCCCACCAACGGAGGGACTCAATAGTGGAGCTATCTCAGTGGCAGCAATCATGTACAATGCAGGCAGAGAGAAGAAGATGAAGAACCACCAAGGAAGGTAGAACATGAAGGTCTGGGATTGCTCAGTGGCTCTTTTCTGAACTCTTCTATAATAAGCAAACTGCTGTGTAACATGTCGTTTCACAGCACTCAAGAATTTTTTGCTATGTAGTACTGCTTTACCTGTAATGGTAAGCATCAGAGTACAGACTAGAATCCCCAAGAAAAAATAACAAAAATGTCTACATGGTCACAGAGATTAATGTTCCATGCTTTTAAATGGAAAAACATTCTGCAATTATCCCTCTCTAAACTTAGGCCAACTATTCTAACTCTAGGAAGGAAATTTCTATTCCAAATAACACAGCATTGCACTTACATAACATCAATGTAGGAACCTAACAACCGTCTCAGGGAAAGCTATTGTGGTATAATAGTTGAGCCACTGCTTAGAGACCGCATGGGATCAGGTGCCACCTTTGCTTCCACTGTAGTTGCCCACTAATGTGCACTCTGAGAGATAGCATACGATGGCTTCTTTACTTAGATCATGGCCATGCATGCAGAAGACCAGGAAAGAGTTCATGGATCTTGGCTTTGATCTGGTCCAGTCCTGGATGTTAAGGGCATTTAGGGAGTACAGGATGGGGGAAAAAATTCTCTCTCTCTCTCTCACTCTTTTTCTCTGTGCCTTTCAAATATGAATAATAATAAATAAATAAAACTGTGAATAGCATTTATAAAAGCAATTCTGAAGCACTAATACATCATTATGAGTATATCAACAGAAGTGATATTGCAATATCTATTATGTAGTAATTTAGAAGAACAAAATCCTGATGTATATGAGAGAGATTCAAATGTAGAACTTTCAAATAGCAAAATGCAAGACTCTCCTGGAGTCTAACTGCCTCACCAGGAAAGGTGCCAAGCACCATGTCCCTGCACGGCTGGAGGGCAAAGCACAATTAGAAACTCGCTCTCTGAAAGATGCTGCTGAGGAATCTCAAGATTTAACTCAACCACGTCAGCCAACTGTGGCCTCTTTCCAACTGTAAAACGACTCTGCAAGGAGGAGGTACAAAAGACAGTAGGAGGTGGCTGCTGGGCCCTGTGTGCCTTTTGCCTCTGCAAAGCTTTTCTGTGCACTGACCAAAACTCCCAAAGCCAACAATTTAGTGTTTACTCCTTCATACTATATATTATGCTTTGTAAACAGCCCTCTCTTTCTCACTGCATTAGAATAAAGACCACCAACACGTGTCCATGGTACCATTGGAGGAATTTCCAACTATTGAAAGACCTAACAACCACAGATATGGAATAGAGAGGGGATAGAAAGACAGGGATTATTAACAGGAAGGCGACCGCTTATAGTAGCAAAATTCCTTTTCTTTAGTAGTTTTCAATAGACATTTTTTAAAAATCATATTGCACATTTACTGTGACTTACCAACTCAGACCACTGTAGCGAGTGTCAGTAGCTGTTGGTTACCCTAATCCACTGATACCTTGAAGGGGATGGATGTAAAATGCACTACTAAAAGGCACGAGGTTAGAAGGGGCAGTGGCAGAAGCATCCAGATAGTGAGTGCAAAGAAGGGAGTGACTGGTGTTACTGAGTAAGAAAAAGGAGGACAGAAAGCCTTGGAGAAGGAAAATCTCGAGCTGAGTCCTGACACAGGTGCTGGTTTGCCAAACAGAAGAGGAAAGGGCATTCCAGGCCAGCAAGGACCACCTGCACTGCTCCCTTCGCCCTCCCAGGCTCCAGCACTAACTCCCCCAGCCACAGGACCTCTTCAGCAGACTGTGCTCAGTTGCCTGAGTCCTCAGCCAAACCCCTTAACCATGCTGCTGCCCCTTCCTGGAGCAGCCCAAATCCAATGAACAGTTAGTGTGGGACTGCAAAGGCCTCGTCCTGCACCCCAACTTGGGCAAGTCTGAAGGTCCAATACAAGGTTAGAGTGCCTAGAGATGGTTAGCTGAGGCCTTTCCTGAAATTCACTACAGCCCAACTTCCCCTCTGTCCACTGCTGCTTTCCTTCCTACCCATCCCAACAATGCTGCTCAACAAAACCTCCAACACATCAGCTTCTACTTACAGGTCTACCTCCTGGAGCACTTGGCCATTCAGATGATAGCTAAAGGGGCCCCTGAAAGCAGACACTAGGCTGGGACAGAGTTCTGGAGGCAAATCACTTGCCACAGAAGTGATGGTATGGCTACCACAGTGGCAATCGCTGGGACACAGGCCCTGGCACAAGGCAGTGGTGAGGCTCCTAAGATGCACTCTGAACAGAAACAGCACACTAATAGAGCAGACTTACTGGCGAGTGTCATGTCAGACATCAGAGGAAGTGTGGGGGAATCTGCGACTTAAAGGACAGGTGTATTGGGCAGCTGGTGTTAAACCCAACTGATAAGGAAAGGTGGAGAGAGCCAACTGCGCTGTAAAACCATCTGGCAACACCTAAGCAAGCTTGCCATTTCCTGAAATAAAAGGGCAGAAAGTGGCTGAGGACCAGGACCTAGAAGAGCAGCAGAGGGGCCCCCCTCTGGGCACGACAGAGCTGCAGGACAGCAACTGTCACACACTGCTCCCCTCCCCCAAGACAAAGTGCAGACAAGGAATGTGAAAAATACATTGGGTGTCAGAAAATCAGAAAAATCAGAAAAAAATGACAAGGCATTTTTGACAAAATGGAAACAACAGCGTATCAAAAGTTGTGAAAAGTCACTCAAACATTCTTGGGAAGGAAATTTACAAGTGCTGAATGCAAGAAAAGCAGGTTTCAAACATCAGCTTCCACTTTAAGAAGCTAGCAAAAGGGCAAGGTACCCTCAAAAAAGCAGGAGAAAGCAAATAATGAAAATGACAGCAGAAATAAATGAAAAGGAAAGCAGAAAAAAAACACAGGGAAAATCAATAAGAATTAAGGTGATTTAAAAGAAAAAACAAACATTGGTTGACTTCTAGTCAGACTTGAGGAAAGAGAGAAGACATAACTAGTGGGTGTTAGGATTAAGAGACCTGGCATTACTGGATCCTAAAGACACCAAAAGAATAACAAGCGAGTAGATAACATAAATGGCCTTAGGTCAGTAAATCGGAGAACCTGGATGAGATGGATAATCTCTTTGAAGAGGCAACCAAACCCCATTTAAGGAGCCACCACGTGACCTGCTCTGTATCTGTTGAAGTAACAGCACAGGTGGCTAAACCTTCCCCCAAACAAACCGGCATGGGTATCGCTGCTGTTGAATTCAGCTAAACACAGAAGGACCAATTATATCATTTCATGTATGCAAACTCTTCTAGAAAACCAGAGACGGTAACAAGAGGCAGCAGGCCATTGGCCGGGGGAACACAGGGCAGGCGCACGCACACAGCTCCCCGGCACCAAGGCACTCTAGTGTAGTCTCCCATGGGGGAGATGGACACCTCTGTGGGCTCATTTCCAAGCCCTGACTTCGTCTCGGGGCCTCAGCGACCTCACCCACTAGTATGAGTGACAGCGATTCCCCTGGCTTGAAAAGTTTGCAGGCCATGCAAGGTAAGCAAGCTACCCGGGCCTGGCACCGGCGAAGCCCCCGCTCACAGCAGCAGGTGCTGCTTGGTCAGTGTACCACTTGACCTCCTAAACAAGCCATGACACTCAGCTGGTTTCCTCTCTTTTGACATACGTCTCAATTCTTTGTGTGACCCACAATACTTGGGTGAAAGGCCCTACCTTTCTTTCGGGCCTTCCTTCTCTTCTCCCTGTACCCCGATTATTTTTCTGCTACAAATGGGGCCTTTCTGGGCTGCCACGAGCCTCCCCAATTCATTGCTTGGGAGAAGCCACCAGCTGCCCTCCAGCTAAGCTCAGGGTGTGGGCAGCCCCCGAGGCGGTGCACAGGGGTCTGCCTTCTCAGCAGCTGGGGGCCAGCCCACCCCTGCCTGGTTCACCAGCCAGTGTCTGACTTGGGTTCTCTACCCATAAGCCAGTGACCTAAGAGGGTAGGATTTAGAGAAACACCAAGGCAAAGGATGACCCAGAAGGAGAGGTCGAAACGATTAATGAGCATAGAAGGTCTTGGAACCAGTCCTTGGAGAAACATCAGAGATGGTCGAGGAGTGGGGCGTCAATATGCCCACGTCACTCCCTCCACCATGGGCTGCCCGGCTGCCCTGACCAAAACCCTATCATGTACAACACACACACACACACACACACACACACACACACACACACACAATTTAACTGCCATCTGTGGAGATTAAACTTGTTGCCCACAACAGAATGGTTGCTCCCCAGCCCCTTGAGGTCTCAATATATTTCTGAGCAGATATTTCTACCACACACACCGTGTGTTAAAAACAATACTACCATTGCCTTCACTTCCCAGGTATGCAAGCTGAGCCCAAAGTACTGACTGCTGCAAGTCACACCAGCAGGCCACACTGCCCCCACTCCCAGGATGGTGACTAGCCCACAACCACACAGGACGACTGCCTGGAAACCCGAGTGTCCGGCCCAAAGCCCAGGCACCTGCCACTACCCCCTTCCTTCAAGTCCAGGGTCCTCGCCCCCGCCCATTTCACAGGTGAGGCCACAGGGACCCTCCAGTCAACGGAGCACCAACACTGCCAGGGCAGGAGCGGGGACCTGGGTGCCGCAGGGAAGTGGCCGCGGGGGTCCGAGGCTGGCGGCAGTGAACGAGGTCGGGAGGGAAGAAGAGCGCTTACTCCGGCCCATGGCGCCGCTCAGGCTCGCGGGTCGTGGAGACGAGACCCTGGAGAGCCGGGGACTCCCTCCACGCCTCACAACGCGCCGCTGTGTGTCCCCAGCAGCCCGTGGTCGTCATAGCAACGGGACTCTACGGTGGCCGAGCAGGTCAAGAAAGGCTGAACGCTGGAGGAGCGGTGACTCCGCGCGATCCCTCCAGATCCAGCCTCCACACTTAACCAAAAATCTCAGGGCTCTGATTTCCGGATGGGAGCCATCTCCTAGACATTTGCCTCTCAGCCTACCCCGCGCTGTTTACTTTTCGTATTTCATTTAAAACTTTCCGAGTAAGACCTGGATTTCGCCCGTTAGCCTCTGTGCCCAAGTCTGCGGGATGAGGATTAGCAGTAGCTCTGAAGGATCCGGTGCAGCTCGAGTCAGGTAATATGAGGGGTACGTTTTATAAACAGAATAAAGTAAGATGTTACTCTTCTGTTTTCATCTCTTTGAAGTCATTTACTCAACACCGGTTTCCTGTTTACAGAGTTCCAGAAGAAAATAAAAATAGATTAAAAACAAACCCAGCTGGGACCCCTTCCCCCAGTGTTGCTGGGAGGGACAGGGTGTGGGCCCCTGCAATCCTGGCTAGTTCTCCCCTCTGTTCCCCAAGGTTCCTCTGCATCCTGCACACCTCAGCCCAGCGCTAGTGAGGCAGGAGGGAGCCATCTTGGAAAGGGAGACCTGGCTCCCAACAAACATGAACCTGCTAGCACCTTGCACGCCCAGAGTCCACGACTGTGACAAACAGATTTCTGCTCTTTATAAATTACTCAATCTCAGCTATTTTGTTATGGCAGCAAAAAGAATCTAGGAGTGGTGGTGGTGGTGGGGGGGGGGTTCCTGTTAGCTAATCAGAAGGACTGGAAAAGTTTATTTTATTCATAAGTAGGAAAACCACGGAGCTGTCGTTCTCCCTGGTAGAATGCTCTAGAATCTGCTCAAGCCTTCTGTGCTTGACACTGCCCACATACTTTGAAACTGCTGTCTCAGGCAGTTCTCACAGCAACCCTCAGAAATAGGTCATGTCATCGTTAATGCAAATCAGGAAGCCATAGCCCTGTGCTACCAGAATAAAAATCTTGTTCCAAAACCTTAATTCTCTACCACACCATTTTTGAGCCTACGAGCTACTTGAAGGCAGGGACGGAGTTGGTTTTGTCTTTGTTTTTCTTCCTCCTGATCCTTTCAGTCAGGACCTTTGCTGACAGGTGCTAGGAGTCTGTAAGTACTTGCTCAGTGCCTGAATGAATGAGGTGGTGATCCAGCCATGCTCATTGGGAGAATCACCATCATGTGACTTCAGTAGAGCCAACGTGGATTATCTTTGTCATAAAGGGAGTAGGTTAGTCTGTTGTTTGTTGCAGACTTTGTAACTAAAGTGCCTTTTTTAGTGCTGGATTCTGGGGATTGGATCAGGAGTCTGCATCTGCTGAGACCCTTGTCTGGTGTCACAACAACATAGCAGATTGCATCACAAGGCCAGATGATGTACAAAGGAGGATTGTGTGAACAGGGAGGAAATAAAAGGAGAGCCGAGAAACACAAACTTGCTTCGTAATAGCCTGCTGTTTTGGTAAGCACCTCAACTCCCTGGCACACCCCCATGAAACAGGAACTAATTCCTGCCAAGGGAGATGTCCCTGTTATCTCTGCGTTGCCTGCTGTGAACCACTTGCTAATAGTTCTACCATTTTTCAGTTCTGTGACATTGGGAAGCACAGCACTTCTGACACTGCATCTTTGTAGGACAAATTGTATCTGGCCACAGTAGGGATCTAGCAGGCTCCCCAAAAAGGGTATCATTATTCTTGTCATTATTCTTGTCATTATTCTCTCATTATTCTTGTCATTTGATAGTTCCTCCTTTTGGACTTTTTTAAAATTAATGTCTAAGAAACTAGCTGTTTCTGGGGTCAGGGTGTTGATAAATTGCCCTGTCCATCTAGGAGCACAACAAAGCCTTGGAGAATAGAATGGGGAATCCAGTGAATGTCATTTGTCCTTGCTGGATCCAACATCACCATCCCTGCATTTCTTTAACACAGGGAGCCCGTGATGTATGCAGAACATGAGTGCAATGTCCTGCAATAGTTACAGTACACGGACAGGAAGGAAAATTGGGCAATACATCACGCTGCGATGGCTCCAAGTCAAGTTCATTTCACTCTAAGTGGATGAAATAATTTGAAGTAGAATGACGCGCACATGTGCAAATCATTTTTCCAAAAAGGTTCATTCCTTTGGCTTCTGGAAACATAATAAAATGAAAGGAGCTTCCTGGGAAACTGCACCTGTGTTTTGTGTTTCAACATGAAAGAATTAAATCCAGAATAAATAGGAATTCCAATAATAACATTAAAATACTCTTCCTACTTCTCTTTTGCTGGATTAATTCCAGGAACATTGACTTAGAAAGCTATGTGGTTCACTTTGTTTCTACTGTTATGCATAATTTAGCATAGTTTATGGTACGGTTACAATTCCATTGTGATTTGTGTTAATTTACCTCCTCAAAGTGTTTTCGTTGCAGCTGTGTTGCAAGTAAATCAATTTCCTGTTTCCTAGCATCTCTACAGTTTCAGGCTCTTCCTAGTCCTTCTTTGCTCTCCACCCCTGCCCCACCCACCCTATGTCAACTACTTTCCTTTTTCTTTCATCTTTAGATATTTACCAGTGTCTTCCATACACCAAGCACTTTGAGAAATAATCTACACAACACATGTAAAATTCATAGCAGACTACTTGACAGGGAGAAAATACCCAGAATGGGTTAAATATTCCTCCTTTGATGATAAAAAAAAAAAAAACTGCCTTCCTTAGACAGGGATCTTAAGATACAAGTGTTGTTTTTCACACTATTCAGATAAAGAAACTCAGGCCACTTTGCATCAGTGCAATGAAAAAGACTAAACAAATTGCCAAATAGTCCACACAAATCCCCGCATCTTCCAATGACTGACTTCTGGCTCATGGATCCCGGAGACGCATCATAAAAGTCTGACTACTCCAAGGTACCACGTTGGTGAATCCAAGATTATATGCCCCGTCTAGCCAGAGCCCAACCTTCCAGCCCTCCCTGCCCAGTCCCAGAAAGATGCTGTCTTGTTCTAACAATTGAATATCACCAAATGACTTCTGTCAATGCCACACAGAATAGAGCAATCACAAGCTGAACCATGCCAGACTTCTTGATGAAAATCATAACATTCCTTCAAAATATTTGTTTTTAATTTGTGGGTATTTAATGATGCAGTAAAAACACGGCTTAAGTATTGGAAATAACTGATTAGGAAGTGGACTGCCTGTTCTACTACCTCATTTGATGGGATAGGCCATTTTCTGTAGGATTTTCAGTTCCTCATTTAAGTGGGAAGCTAGGTTCAGTGATTTCCAAAAAAAATTTTTTTTCAGAAACCCAAGTTTTCTTTTCCAGTCTGAATATTTGAGGCTGAAACATTAATCGATAACTGAACTAAAGGGCATTATGGCAATGGGAATAATGATTATCTGTGTAGACCTAGAGAAAGAGCACTCTTTGACAATGTTTGATGTTGAAGAGAGGATACATTGGCCCAGATCATAGGAAATTCCACAATAGAAGAATTTGAAAATCAATGATTCAAAGTCTTACACCCCTCAGACCCTCCCTCAGAACAGCCAGCAGGAGCATGAACCACCAGGGTGGTCTCTAGGGTTTTCTCTCAGTCCAGAATTCCATAACTCTGGATTCTCTTCCTGCTTAAAAAGTTATCATAAAATATTAGAGTGTGTATTAAATCCCATTAACTGAAATTAAACCAAATGCTATCAAAGCCCATCCTTACTCATCTATTTTAACCTTCCCATCACATCCCCATAGCACCTCAGGGAAATTGGATTAATATCCAATTAATCATTGCCGAGCAATGATCTCCCAAGTCTTATTGGGGAGCAAATCCAGGTATCACTTTTCAGCTTTTGCCCTCAGTCCTGAAACAACATACTATGGGACACATGACCTAAGTCCATTCGTGTGGGCCCTCTCTTGGTGAAACTATACACAATGGGCTTGGGGTAGGGCACCCCTGTTGTGTCCTGACTGCACCATTCTATCTGGAGGTTGCTGGCTGGGTTTCCAGCTTTATGACTCTCCAGAGATCCAACCCATTGCAAATCTTCAAATTCCCACTTCAAACTGTGAAGAGCAACTGTGAAGTCTTAAAGAACACTTTCTCCATCTAGAATTTCCCTCATTACTGACGCCATCTGCAATTTCAGAGAAGTCTTCAAACTACCCGCAGTTTCTACAATTCACTACAATGATATGTGGAGTGTAAAAGCTGTTATTCTCACCAAAAAAGGGTATTGCAGGAAAAGGTACAGATTAAAATCACCCAGAGGAGGACATATGCAGGATAGAGAGCAGAATCTTTGGTATTTTTCTCCTCATGAACCCAAGACACAATACTCTTGGAATGATATTGCATGATCATACATGTGCGGTACTGCCATCTGGGACATCTCACCTGAGCTTTACTGTCCAGGTTTATCTTTAGTACTTCATCCTGTAGGAATAAATGATTGTCTGATTGCCAATGTAGTTAATCTCAGTCTCTAGGTCAACTGACACCTTGTGACCCAGAACACCTTCCCTCATAGCATTATTAGACTTTCTGGCCTAGAAAGAGTCCACCCCAAGACTACCTGAGAATGGTTGACACTTGCCTCAAATCACATGTTAGACTAAGCACTGAGCCCCAAGGTCTCCCAGAGAAGTGAGCAGTCCAGGAATTATCTCCTAGAATCTGCATACAATGCCAGCACTTCTCTACAGTCAAGACCAAATGGAATAACACAGTAGTTTCAGTCTTTTTGGTTCTCTTTGCAGGCTCATTTTCATTTCAGCTAACATTTTAGGCCCTTCTGGTTCTAGGAGACATCCTACCTATTGGAGGAGAGGGGAGGAGCAGGACCAATTCTGTCATTGTGTAAAATCGTACCAGAAACACCTGTATGCACAAAATAAAGGCACTGTTGATTTGAGAAAGATGATGAAGATGGCAAAGATTTTTCCATGGCTAGTTTATTTGTTTCAAGTTTACAAGCATTTTTTTCCCTAGAACTTCCTAGAAGACAAGCATAACAAGTGCTGAAGGTCTAAAAAAAGTTATAAAAACAAATCTAAAAAAACGTTTTCACTAATTTAATTTTCTTTGAGAAAGAGTAAACAACACTATTCAGTGTTAGCATATCAACACATGGGACTAACTCACAGGAAACCTGGTGTTCCCAAGATGATTACTTGAGAACTACTGGGTACAACTAATTGCAGGTAAGAATAGGAATAAAAGAAATGAACAAAAATTAAAAATGTCTCTGAGAACATTAATTCTTCCAAATATAATCTTTAAGGCTGCTTGAAATGAGATTCCTGGGTAAATTGCAAGAAACTGCCAATTTCACTAATGATAATAAGTTTATTTTAATTGCTAATATATTCCTAATTACTCTAGTCCTAAAATGTTTACTTCCCTGTCAGTCATGTTCTTTGATTTCTGTTCCTTGTGAAATGACTTTGTCATATCAATCAAGTCTACTGGCAGCCATGGAATATGATGTCACCTTCCTTGTCATACAGCTCTGCTGGGCACCATTTGTCCCAAAAGCTGAGAAAGAACTCTCTCACCAAATCTTCTCATGCTTCAACTAGGGTTGTGTTAAGGTCTTCAGAGGAAGACCATGGAGAAATGCATCATTTTCAATCCAACAAAGTATGTATTGTCCACACATGCGTGT